CTTGGGTTGGGTACATATGCTGCAAGACGATCAGGCACTATAGTCAATAGAAACTATACTCACAAGGAAACTTCTCAAGTGTGATCTTCTATCGGACTTGCTGCCATACCAAGCCTCCAGAGTATACTTGCAGGGAGGTTGATTGAGAATGGACATGTTCGATGATTCTAGAACACACCGTAAGCCCATCGCTCTTTTCATAGATCAAGATCTCTTCAACTTCTCGGTAACTTTACCATAAGTGCTGCTACACTCTTTAAGGATCACTTTCATTCCTACATACTCTGGTCAGGCCAGTGCTTTATTGGCATAGGCATCACACTAGGCCTTATTTCAAGGCCTCAACTATCTTTCAGTCGTTGCCCGAAACACAGATGCTTAGTCGGACTTGGTTCTGAGCTCGGACTCGTTGAGGCTATCGTACTGCTTCTGCACACCCTCCAATTGCTTTCTGAAGACGGCAATGTCATCCTCCTTCTGCTTAATCAACTTGCGGAGCTCAGCAGCCTCTTCCTTGTCATCGCTGGTGTTCTTGGCGTCAACACCAGTCTCAGCACTTGTGGCAGCCCTATACAGCTCCTCCTTCTTCACCAACTTCTTCAAAATCGTCACGACGGTAACAATGGAAATCTCCAAGTACAACACAGCGCCAGTGATGTACAAATTGCGCTGGCTGTAGAATTTGGAAGCCAATTGGTCGTACCTTGCTGGACCAAGGTCTCTGGAATGCAAGGACCCCTCAGCAGAGTGGTATTTTTGGAGCTTCTGGACACAGTCAATAAACTGGAGTCCTAGCATGACTGTAGTAAACGCCCAGCCACTCTTGAAGTTTCTGCTCTGGTTCAACTTGACTGATCCATTCACAAGTTTCTGTCTGACAGGGAATGGCAATGGAACCATCAAGAGCAAAAGGTAGCCCATCTCAAAGATGAGAAGGCCGAAAACTAAGGACATTTGAAGACTCATGGCGGATGCTTACTGAATTGGAATCAATTGATGTTTGTCGGAATTGCTATGAACCTTTGCTGTCTTCTGAGTATCATCAATTCGCACCACGCAGGATTTGGCCACTTGAGGCTGATTGCTTCCTCGCAGCGCCTTCTTGTGCGCATGCTTTTGCATCCACTTTTCAATTAAAGATTGTAGACCTTCTTTGCATAAAGATAGGACGAGATGCTGAAAAGGAAGATGCCAAACAAAATGCCCCAGAACCAAGTAAGGCCAGGTGCATCCTGACCAGGAACGATACAGTTCATACCCCACAAACCCGTAACAACGTTCACAGGCAAGACAATCGTACCAATCACAGTAATCTTTCCCAAAACATCGTTTGTGTCATTATTAACCTTGGTCATGTCGATATTGATTTGAGCCAAGTAGTTGGAGTGTGAACGTGCCAAAAGCTTTTCGTAGTGGTTGAGCGACTGAACCATTGTGACAATATGGTCCTGAATGTCTCCCAAATACATCAAGATCTCCTGCTTAGAAGAAGACCTCGTGTTCAAGAAGGGATTGTCCTCAATTGGTTTAACCACGTCACTCTCACTAAAACGTTTGGAGTAACCTTTGATGACATCGGCCTTTGTGCTTAGAAGTCTCATCACAGACATGACCCTCTTTCTGCACTCACCAATCCGCCTCAACATATCACCCTTACGCTTCCAAGCGACGATTCTCGAAGAGTCAGTGCTTGTAGTGGTTGAAGTCCTCGACCGACCACTCCTTCTTGAGTTAAGCGAGATATAGTCAGGCTTGGAGTTACGCTTTCTCAAACGCAAGAAATCAAGTTTGGATGGCTCGGGGTTTTCCACAATTGACTTGGATCTGTGACGGCGAACGAAAACATCGTCGCCACCAGAGTAGCGAGGACGTTGTTCATGAAATTCGTCAATAGGCTCTTCATCAGACTCATCACTTTCGTCAGTCGACTCTCTGTCTCCGGAATGCATCCTCATAATCTCGTCCTCAATAAGGTATACTTCAGACTCAATACTGTCTATCATAGGTGCAAAGGAGTCTGTAATATCATCGATCAATGCATAACAAATCCAATCTGGTGAGACAGTCAAGTGGTCCTTGAGCATACGAGCACGGCGACGAACATTAATAGGATGTGGAGTGGCACTGAAATGGAATGTTAAGACGCCATGTTTGAAAACAATCATATACATATTCAATGGGCATAACTCTCCATTTCTGATTCTTTTTGATTTGGATTTGTTGGAAGAGGAGCCGGACTTCTTAGCATTTGAGCGAATAACTCCGTCGTCCTTTCTTCCAAATAGATTTTTAAACCATTCAGCGCTAAACTTGTTGGGCTGATTGTTGTATTCCATAAGTTTGTTGATTTTCTTCTCATGTTCCTTCTCCTTTTGCTTCCTACGCTCGTAGACAATGTCGAAGGAGGTGAAGCAAAGGAAGTAGTACAGGTTGAACATCTCGACCTTTTCTCTGGCTTCGTCCATGAAGACGTCCTCTGTAGTCAATGGATGTAAACCAAATGTTTTCGAAATAACTTTCATCTCCTCTTCCAGGGGGTCAAGGATGTCAAGCCAAAAAGGATCGTGATGGGAAACTGGAGATGTGGAAAGAGAATTCACTGAGTTTGCCACATGAGCTTGATTTGCAAGCGAAGCATGTGAGGCACCTGAGTGTGGAAGGCTGCCCTTGGCATTTTGATTTGCAGCAGAAGTGCGGCTAACCGATGGTGGAACCGATCCATGCCTGTTGTGATGTGCTTCCCTGCCGTTTGAAGTATCTGGGATGCCTTCTGCGTTTGGTGTGGCTCCACGAGGCAGTCTGTGAGAAGCAGGAGCAAAGTGAGGATCGAAAAGCTCTCTAAGAGAGTTTCTGATGGCACTATCATCTGAATAGTCCAATTTTTCATTGTCAGTGATGAGCCCTGCAAGGGTAGGAGAGTGAAGAGTCTTGTCCAAATCATCTCTGAAGTAAGTGAATCTGCACAAGGTGTCAGGCTTCGACTTGCCATTGTTGAGGATAGTATGAATCTTCAGCTGAGAGGCTTCCCATGGCTGAAGAGCCTTTGGTCTGGCCTTGATGGAGCTGGTCTTCAGGTCCCAGTTGTCCACCTCGTTGATTTGCACCAGGTTCAAAAGAGGCGCGTCCTCTTCCTCGTCATCATCGGCAGACTCAGTCTGTTGATGAGAGACGTGTCTGGCCAAGGGGTATCTGAAATTAACCTCGTTAGCCTCCGACTCCTCATCTTGCAACTCCTCGAGCTCTTCCTTCACAAAGTCCTCGAGGACTTCCAAGTCAGGCCATTTTTGAGACTTCCCAGCATCTCCTTCGTCGTCATAGTAGTCGAGGTAACAAACGTCATCTAACGAAGTAGAGTCGCTGGAATGTTCAGAAGGAGGATTGGATTCGCCAAACTCAAGCAGAGCACCTGAACCAGGACTACGGTCGCTGAATGTCTCAGGATGGTCTTGAGTACCGAACTCCTGAGTTCTAGCAAATCTGTCCATGTCAAGCGCCACAGACCCAAATCTGTGAGCCAGATGCAGAGCGTTGTTCTGCTCGAGGAGGGTTTGCAAGTTTCTGTCCGTGAGAGGTGCAAAACTGCTTCTTCTGGTACTGTTTTCATATTCGCTTCTCCGGCGATCTCTGGCCGAAGAATTCATGTGCATTGCACTGAGTGCATGAGGATCGTTGTATGAGTTTCTCTCAGAAGGCGATACTGGTCTCGAGCTGGGCCCAGAATCGTGTTTACCTTGTGATTCCTTAGCCTGTTGCTTCAGGCGGATTTTCCTCTGTTTGGAGGACTTTTTCTTTGCCATGGTGAGGTCTGTTAGCTCTAGAGCTTGGGGGTCTTCCGGGAGCGGAGCGCTTTCGTTCTTTCTTGAAGAAAAGACCTGATGTCGTACAAGTCGCAAACCGATGGCTTAGATGGATTCTTCCATATTTCGTAGCAAGCTAGAGGAGGATCATATCTGCAGAGCGGCTATTCCATACACGTGATCAGCGCGGCTTAGCCCTTAAGCGACAAGGTGGAACCTTTTTAATGGCCTAGTCGGAGAAAGGGTCCAGGAAAAAGTATCACAAATTCGAGATTTAGAACCTTCTTTTTGAAATTATACTTTTTTGGCACAAAAAAAGCTGCAGTCCGAGGATTACAGCTTAATGATCGCGTGATACGTAATTGCGACATGAAGAGATTACGGATATTTTTGTGACAGATAGAACCTTTTCTACATATTTGTCTAAGCCTTGTATATGAAAAAGGAAGTGTATCATGTGCTGAGCAAACACAGTCTTTTGCCACTGTAGATAAAGTAAGAGCATTGAGACAAAGCCGGAATCCCGCGATTTCCAAATTGCAGAGCGATAAGCCAGAAGCAGTTCGCTTCATTGCATCACTCAGCTTGCACGAAGGGGACACCACCGCATTAAAAAGCACAACACCTTCAAGAGTAAGCTTAATTTCTCCCTCTCGTGCACTCAATTGACGAACGACGACATGAAGATTCCACAAAAGCTCCAATTGAGCAATTTAATCAGAATCCGAATCTTCGACCTTCTCTGCTGACTTGACTTCTTTCTTGCTGCTGGCAGAACCGCTTTTGTCAGATGCCTCGGTCTTGTGCTCGCTAGACTCCAACTTTGCTGCCTTGCTTGGGTGCAGCTTGGCTTCTTCTAAGGATGCTGAAATTTTGGGTTGGAGATCAATGAGACTTTGGAAAAGACTCTCAGACAATGCAATGCCTTTTCTACCGGGCTTAAGTTCCCCGGTTGATTTATCATTGTAGAACTCACGAATGTCGACAAGAGGTTTCCCGTTGAACAAACTCACAGTGACATGTTTATTGTTCCCTAGTTCATATTTAGCAATCTCCTTTGAATCGAACTTGCCATCTGCACCATTGCCTGCTCCTCTCTTTCTAGACATTGTAGATATGAAGAAGTAGTTGGTAACTGACGCGCTCACATTGCACTGTTTTTGCACTGTATAGCACTCCGCATTATCCTCTTGATGAAACGTTCTAGTGAAGTCCAGACGGCCAGGTTTCATTATAATAGTCACCAAACTTGTCGATTGTCAATTTGAACAATTTCTCATCTTCGTCACTCGCCTGGTCCTTCACGCTATAATAACTTTGTAAGGCAGAATTGAGTTCGTCCACCGTAGACACACCAAGCACAACAGAGGTCTTATTATTCCACTCAAGTGGATATTCCTTTTGACTTTGCGAGTCAAAAAGCCAACGTTTGAGAGCAAACCTAGTAGCCAATTCCGCAAGCTCCACGTTATGTGAATCCTTTAAGAACTGAGCCACCTCGTCAACCTTGTCTCTCAATTCGACACGAGCAGGGTGAAAGTCGTGCGTTTTGCCCGACCGAAGTAGTGACATGCTCAAGATAGATCCATTAAGAAGCTTCTTGATGCCACAATCGTTTATGAACGAGTCGTACATATCAAAAAGGGCAGTGTTCTGAAGACAGCCATGGGAGTAGGTAAGAATACAATCCACTGGGCCGATCTCCTCCTTCTTCTCGTGGGCACAAGTGTGTGCAATCTCATACAAAAACTTGATGGGGTATCCGGAGAATCCAAATGCCTTGATCAAGCCCTCATTCTTCAACGCACGCAATTCCTTCAAAGCTTCATAGATTTTTGGAGTTTCCACGAATTCAACATCATGCATGTAAACAAGATCGAGATAGTTGGTATTGAGTAGCTTCATTGAGTTTTTGACCGAGGCCCTCACATGCTCTCTAGAGTAGTTGAACTCGTTCTCGGCAATACGTCCAGCTTTGGTACAAATGTAATAGCTATCACGGGGCCACTTGGACTGAAGATTCTTCAAGGCCTGACCAATCAATTCCTCAGATCTGCCGTAGTATGAGGAGGTATCTATAGCATTGAGACCTTTCGAGAAGGCGATATCAAGAATGTCTTGGATTGGTAGTTTTGTAGGGTCGTTGGTATAAATAAAATTGAGCACAGCTCCTCCAATAATAAGAGGAGGAAGGTTTGTGATTGAATAAGGTGCAATTACCTTGGTGGGGCCAATGGCTGGAAAGTTCATGGTTTAGTGGTATTATTTAACAACGTTCATTCGCACCTCACTACTTACATTTGCGTCACCACCGTACTCGTTATACATGCATTGATCCTATACTAAAACAAACTGTCGCCCTCCTTCACATAATTGTAAGGCACTAAACCAACGTTTCCAACGTCACTTCCGCAATTGTTTGCTAACTCACACACATACCAATTGTCCTCTTGCTTATGAAGCACAAACATGTTCCAGCCTTTCTTAAACGAAAGTTCTCCCTCTTCTCTAGCACTGTAAGTATAAATAGCCTTGGCCTTGGCCACGTACTCGTGTCCTGAAGCCGGCGTCACTCTATCTATCATAGAATGAAGGTCCATGTACGACTTTGTGGGAGATTGCAGTGAGAACCGCTTGGATTGAGTCTGTGGCTTCATAGGAGTCCTTGCAACAACAGTCCTCATCAGATCATCTTCACCCATGGCACTGTCCACCATTGACTTGGGCCTTGGTTTTTGTGGTGTCTTGAATGAGATGGAATCATACCTAGTTGCCTGTTCTCTGGAATCATCAACGAAGTCTGACTGAGGGCGGTGGTTCTTATAGGAAACAGGGTCATTGTCTTTCGCCTGACTCCTTACAGATCGCCTGAACTGGTTCACATCACCATTACCCCCAGTATTAAGGTCCTCAAGTGCTTTGGCAATGAAGTCCATGGAAAAGTCCTTATTAATGGAAACCGTGGGCTTCTCTGGTTGGGGTGGTGGAGGCTGGAATGTATTGGTCCAGTCTTGCAGTCTTCGATTAATTCGTTCTTGCATTTCCAGTCTCTCCTTCTTTCTTGGGGACGCCCAACTTCTTGTTGTCTGCGAGGTATAGTTCGTGGGATTGGAGTAGTCCAGGTCGTTCGATTCACGGAATTTCTTGCTGGAATCGAACACATCGTGTTTATCTTCTGGACCAGATGTGTAGTTACTTGTCTGTGATAATTGCTTGCGGAGTTCACCGTTACCATTTGGTTCTTTGATTGGGGGAAGGCTCTTATTCTGTGGTACTAGTAGACCGCCATTCGTTGCTCTTGTGGGTGAACCTGAATCCACGTTGTTTCTCTTCGGGCTTCTTTTCGTGGGACTTGTTTGATTGCTAGATGGAGCTGACTGAGTGGAGAATGTTCTAGTAAGAATTTGGGAGAAATCTGGATCTTTGAAATCAGCGAGCTCGAAGTCCTGTGATTCGGAGTCGTCATCGTATCCTTCTGCAAAATCAATAAACTTCGGGGCTTTGGTAATTTTGTTGCCCGTGCCGTATGCCTCAGCGAAATCATGGATATCTTTTGGTGCTAGTATGCTTGCAAATGAGGTTCTAGCTACATCCACCAGCTGGTCCCAATCGACGCATAGCGAAGCAACGTGGTTGCAGAAATTGAAGCAATTGAGTTTGCAAATTTGGATACGCTCAATTTCCAACTGATAAACATTCAGCAAAGCAGCACGCCAGTCTCGGACCCACACATCGTGTATCTCTGTGCACTTGTGGATACATTTCAAGTACTGGTCCTTGAGGACATTGGCATTTTTCTCTGCCTTTATAAGCTTTGCTTTGTTCTTCTCTAGCTCCTTGCCCCATGTGGTCTGGCACTGTAGCAGCAATGTCTTGATCAGATGGCATTCCATTCTGTACTTGTCTTTGATGGCTTCGAGGTGGTTGAAGAAGTCCTTCTTTTTGCTCAAGACCTTTTGCATATGAGACTCCACTTTGGAGACGTTGTGTTTATAGTTGCCGTAAAAGGAGTTGAGCTTCTCGTAGTTGTGGAAAGAAACACTCTTGATAAACTTCTGGTTCTGTCTAACCATGTTACCACTCTCGTTCTGCAATTTCTCCAAGGCAACTTTGATGGAGCCCGTTTCGCCGGAGCCTAGCGTATAAGAGCCCACGAGCTTATCCAAGCGTTTATTGTATTCTTTCTCAATGGCAACTCGTTCTTTGTAGAATGTTAGAAGTTCCTGGAGGGTAGTCAATGAATGTGCAAGTCTAGTCTGTATCACCTGGAAGCCAGCCTCCTGCTGGCCCCAAAAGCGGTTGACAAAAGCTGTATCCACCGACATTGGAAGACTGAGTAGTGAAGAGTGGAGCTCGGAAGTGTAATTGTTGATAATTGTCCAGGGTACATCACTTACATCAACTTCGGTTGTTTACATTCTTCCCAATAGGGTAAGATTATGGTCGTGAGTGCAGCGAACACTTGCAAAGCCGCAGAGAGTCTTTGTGATTCTGACACACACAGACGAGGACCACACGGGCGAAGACGATGCTTGTGAGGCTTGCTTGAGGATTGGCGGGTTTGTTGGAGTTCCTCAAGGCTCGTCCTCTATGGTTGCCTGAGGGGTCTTCGAAGCCACCACCAGGAAGCAACACAATCTGGAGCTAAAACGCTGAACAAGTTCCCGTTTTCATCTTTATTTCTTCTTCTTATGAATTCAGACTTTACAGTTTTTCCTTTGAAGTTTATTCGCAGGGCCTTGAATTTGCAATGTGGTGTGCGCTCATGTAGGTCAAGATTGACACGCAAAAGACAAATGATAAAACTTAGCAGCAGGAACGAAAAACTCGTGAAGATTGAAAGAAGATCTCAATTCATTTTCTCAGTCCCGATCATCCATACAACGACTGAGCAGCAGTTGCGCAATGCATGCGACCGATTTCGCAAAAGCACTAAATTGCGTCTCCACAGTTGCAATGAGAAAAAAATCCACTTTCAATTTTGCTATCACTGATCTCGTGCCGATTTAATTTAAACCACGGTAAAATTTCAGTCGTATCGCTCACATTGCCTATTTGGGAAACAACCCCGGAGAATGACGACAGTCGCTGTAACTCGGAACATGCTCATCGATCCGGCGGATACAATTCCGCACGTGACACATGATAGTGCAAGACTGACTCTTATTGCCAGTGATAATTCATCTTGGTACAACTTTCCTTCACAGCTGCTTTTAGTGAAAAGCTTTTAATATATTTAATTGATAGACCATGCTGTATCAGGAATTCAAGAAGACAAAGACCTACAAGTGGACCACGAAGGTCCTCGGTTTCCTACTAGATCAGTGGTTCTTTGTGCTCTTGGGTGTGTTTGTTGTATTGGCATACTTCTTTCCAGAATTTGCCAAGCAGGGAGGTACTGTCAAGGCCCAATACTCCATTGGCTATGGTGCAGTGGCGGTGATTTTCTTGATTTCGGGTCTTTCCATGACCACCAAGGACTTGTTCTCGAATATCATGCATTGGAGAGCTCACTTCACCGTGCTTTCATCGTCCTTCCTCATCACCTCTGCTATTATCTACGGTATCTGTTGTGGTATCAAAGCTTCCGGTGATAGCGCAATCGACGACTGGTTGCTCGTGGGTATGATTGTCACCCATTCCTGTCCAACCACAGTTTCATCCAACGTTGTCATGACCAAGGCAGCCGATGGTAATCATGTTTTGACCACTTGCGAGGTGTTTATTGGTAACGTTTTGGGTGCCTTTATTACCCCGGCTTTGGTCCAAATGTACTTGACAGGAACATGGGATTTCGGTAACCCAAAGTACCAGGAACAGCAACAGTCTATTCAAGCACTTTACGGTAGTGTGATGAAACAGATTGGTCTCTCGGTGTTTGTTCCTCTCTTCGTTGGGCAAGTTGTTCAGAACATTTGGCCCAAGCAGGTCAAGTGGACTCTTACAACATTTTATCTTAACAAGGTTGGTTCCTTCATGTTGCTTTTAATTATGTTCCAATCATTCTCGACAGCTTTTGCCCAAGACGCCTTTGAGTCTGTTTCCCACGCCTCGATCATCTTTTTGGTGTTCTTCAACATCGGCATATACTTGTTCTTCACGGTGTTGGTCTTCTTTTACCTGCGGCCGTACTTTATCGTCAAGTATTACGACCACGAACCAACCGAGCAGGACTCGAAGACGTACACCTGGGGCTACAAGCTATTTAGACCATTTTACTACAATCGTCGTGACACAGTTTCTGTGATGCTCTGTGGACCCGCCAAAACCGCCGCCTTGGGTGTTTCATTGGTCTCCTCGCAATATGGTGCTCACAACCCCAAGTTGGGTGTTTTGTTAGTGCCATTGGTGCTTTACCAAGCCGAGCAGGTTCTCACGGCACAGATTTTGGTCAACTTCATGAAGAAATGGGTTCATGCTTTGGATAAGCCTGCTGAGGATGAGGAGGCTGCTCCATCCGAGGATACTCAACCCGACGGAACTAAGGTCAGTGACACTGACACTCAGTACGGCAGCATTTCCGAGCGTGGGCAGGCGACTCCACAAGAGCAGGAAGCTCGATAAGTGAAGGTTGGCAATAATTGCATTTATTGGTGAATCAATTAGAGTGCATTTACGTGTGATTGAAAAAATATCATACATAATGGTAATTAAGACAATAGAGGTAGCAAGCTTTACGGACTTCAGAAGAATAGGCGGCCGAGGGGAAAGTGGAAAAAGAAAACCCCGAGGCGTCATTAAGAAAAGGTGCTTGCCGGGGAAGACAATATTGACTAAAGCGCCAGGTGTAGAAGCATGTAAGAAATGAGGGAAAGAGGTGGAGTATTTAACATTATAGTCATATGAACGGCATTCAGTTGATCTACAAAGAATCGGATTGATGAATGTCACTAGAAAGCTGCTCTACCAGACGCTCAATGTCTTGAATGCACGATGTGTGGCGTGTGCAGGGGCGAATGCACACTGATAACAAATGGCCGCCCCAGACCACGGGGTAGAGTTCATGATCCACAATGATTCTCCACCATTCCAAGTTATTGACACAAAACAAAATAGACTGTGCGTTTTCCAGGCTTTCGAAAGGACCCTGTGAGGGGCAGTTGTCCTGTCAATAGTGTGGAATTGGCCTGGGTGAAACTGTTATCACAGAAGTGTGGGTGCGAGAAATGTCGCACGCTGCGTGCATTTACGTGCATATCACTGATGCATCTGGATTCCGCAGCTGTGAATAGCTCTCCACTTACTCATCGGAAATGGACTTGATTCGGTCATTGGCGATGAAAACAGAAACCTTATTGCCCATTGATTTCTTGAATGCGATGGCCCGAGCCCGAAAAAAATAATAACTTACAGTGGTAATTTTCTTGTGACCTCCAAGGTCTTCTAGCGCATACGCATGCCTCCACCATACCATGCGATAAGGAGCCTCACGCAAAGTTACCCATCGGCATCAGCATATGATCTTCTGTGGCTCTCAGCACTTACATCATTGTAGCCGCTAAGAGTAAATCAAGACTCCAAACGTAAGCTCGTCGGTGGCAAAGGTGGTTAGAAACAACAGACCAAATTCATGTGATCATGCTCGGCTGCTAAGTGTCTCGAGCTCCGCCGAATTGAGAGGAACCCGAACGACAGGGCTTAACATGGCAGGCGGAAGCCCAGATTGAGAATGCGAAAGCTTGGGCCAGTATGAATTTAGAGTTGCTCCAGATGATGGATTTTCCTAACGATTTACCGGTTCGACGCCACGATAGGGCGCATCCATATCGGCGTCTTGGCGATCGACGCAAACATGAATCATCGGTTTTTTTTTTTTTTTTTTCGAGACCTTATCACCAGACGGTTTCTAAGGTACCGCCGCTTATTTCGGTTTTCGTCGCTGCCGACTGTACCGATCTTAGGCCTATCTGACGAGAAGCGGGTGTCAATTTTCAGCCGCCAGATCCCACATAATGCTCAGCCATTTAGTCCAAACCTTATTTCATTATTTGGAGAAACTTGCACCGCCAGCTACCCAGACCATCTTGGCTAGAGCAACTATGGCTTAGTGAGCGACTCGTAACCCTAACCCATCTCTCTCTCTCTTTTTTTTTTCTCCAATACCTTCCCAGCCCCGTGGGTAGTGAATCTGCCGCTGGGGTAATGGCGGAAAACCGATGTCATCCTTCATAAAACTCCCAGAAATACATCTTCGGTAGCCAGTCTGGCAGACGGACTCTCCAAATTGTAATGGAGCACTTATCGTTGCTTTTGGGTCCAAAGCGACGATTGGTCTCTCTTGTCCACTGGCTCCCAATGGATCCCTGACGGGAGAACCGCGGCACATGCCCCGGACCACACGGGAATTACAGTCTAATGAGCACAATGCTCGAGAAATATTTAAATATCTTCAGTTGGCCTCGAGAAATAGCCATCTTCCTCGAGAACCAAGATTGCAATAAAAGCCTAGTACGCTGAAGTCCGAGTGTACCACTTTGTTGCCAGACAATTGTGACGCACGCAGTGCGTCACCCAGCCAGCCTGTATGCCGGCGCGCGACATTTTTTCTCTCTCAGCTGGCCAAAATACCTCATGCGCCTACATCACCCCACATGTAGCCCCAGCTTGTCAACCATTCAGCACCACACTTTCTCGACGTTTTGCATAGTTAGGCTAGGTCACAAAGCGGTATGTTAAAATGGCTTCCATCCTGCCGGTGGCGTTACGTCTGCTGCATGGCCATGCGGCGGGGAGCGAAATGTCGCACTTCCTCAATAGGGTCCACCCGTCTCCGAGCCGGCACCCGGGCTATTATCAGTAATCTTACGAGAGCCTGTATGCGGCCCTAGGCCCAGACATGCGTGCCAATACTTCAAAAATTGGCACCAGTGTAGATTCATTACTTTCTCATATATCTTATCTTTGTTGCCGCCCCGATCGATTCACTTATTTTCCCGACCCAAGGCTTCTTTCCAACTTTCCCAACCACTTTCCCACTCAAGCGGACCCTCATAACCTGCGGCTGGCGTTATCAGTTACAGCCTTCCATTTCATATCTGAGGCGTCATCCACACTTGTGATCACCACACCTCCAGAAACCACCAAAGCTTTCTTCCCGCCCACGCCCAAGAAGCTCCCTCTATATTCTCGAAACACTTTTATTGTTCCCAACGCATTTGCCTGAAATGTCGTATTCCTCCTTCGGTATCGACTCGGCTGTGGTGGAACCCACCTTCCAATCAAACACACTGCCCCAAGTCCCCTCCAACGAATGGATCCCTCCTCCAGCATCTTTGACCACCATCGACTACGACGGTTTGGATCTCAACGACGAGATCTTTTTGAATAACCAGAACCCGGCTTTCCGTGAGGAGGCCCCAACTCTGCCAGTGGCTCAGTCCAATTTGAACTACAGGAACTTGCAGTCGAACTTGAGTCTGCCCGAAATGCAGTTTGCCTTGCCTTTCAGGACAGATCCAAACTCACATTACTCGCACCGTCGCCGTTTCTCTCTGGCTGTTGAGCAGCTTGACAGAATGTCTTTGCAACAAAATGCGCCCGCTTACTCAGCTAACTCCACGGTCTCTTACAACAGCGACCAAGGCTCCATCTCAGGTATGAACCTGGCCAACTCGGACCACTCTCAACGGTCATCCACCTCCTCTAACACCAGAGCCGACCTGCTGGATCAGTTTGGCAACTTGAAGGAGGAGCGTACGGTAAACCCTCGAGAGTTATTCGGGAGTCTGCTTTCCACAGGTTCTATGCCTGCTCCTGCTCGCTACGTGCTTCCTCTGCTGATGCTGTCACCCTCCTTGGGTACAATCTTCAAAGGCATGAACCCGAGCCTTGACGAGACCGCCGAGCACAAGTCGAATGTTTTCAACGGCATTGATACCAACAACTCGTCCGTGATACATTCGCCCGAGGAGGCTAGCAACTCAACGTTTATCATGAATGATGAGTGCGTTAGTGCCATTACCTACTGGCTCAACAACACTGCGAATGTCATATCTGAGTCTGATAATGCGGCCGACCGTGCGGCTCAGGTGGCTACCAAGTCATCCAGACCTGGCTGGAGACGCAACAACTCGATTCAGGTTCTCCCCAGTCGGTCGGACGCCAGTCCCTCGAGGGCTCATTCCATTGTAGGAAGCTATAACTCGGTGCATAAGAAGAGAAGACAAAAGTCTTTCAACAATGCGATTCCTGACATCTTCGCGAGCGAGTTGGCCTCCGAGTCCCTTGCGGGCTCATCGGCCTCAGATGTTCCTCGTGATCTCTCGTCTATTGCTGTTGACTCCAACAATCAAATGCCGATGATTAGCCCTCAAGAACTTGCACTGTTTACACAAGGCCTCGAGCAGGTTCCCGGCCTTGGTCAAGATATTGTGCAAGACATTTCACTGCCTTCATTGGCGAAGCAAGAGCAAGGCCAGTTCAACTTTCCTAGCTCCCAGGCGGAGCAGCCAAAGGCTGAGCTGTCCAACGGTAGAGTTCATGAGCACGGATCCCCAAGCCAATCACAGGCTTCCAAGCTACAAGCTGCTGCTTCGAGTCGTGGCGCAGGCGCTGCTTCGGCTGAAGACGAACCAAAGCCTTTCCCATGTCCTGAGTGCGATAAACAGTTTAAGCGTCTGGAACACTTGAAGCGTCATATTAGATCAGTACACTCGAACATCCGGCCTTTCCACTGCAAGTACTGTGAGAAGAAATTCTCGAGGTCGGACAATTTGGCACAGCACCTGAAGACACACTTCAAGGTGAACAGTAACGGAACTACGACAATCGTTTATGGAAACCCCAACCCTCAGACTCGTGGTCGCAAACGCAGCACCTCGATGACAGGCGAAACCCAAATGAATGTCGAGGCCTAAGAGTGATCTACACTGACGCCACTTGGACATCTTTTTTGTACACTTTTTTTTCTTTAGCGAAGGGTTATTTTGGATTCTTATATCACTGGAAATGGATTATGGATAGATTGAACCGCGTGTAGCTGCCTATAGCTGGCCTCGTATTCTTCTTGCCAACTGAATATCTTTCTGCATTATCGTCACTCTTTTGGCGTGAATTGCACACAAGTTGGTGTCTTCCAAGAGATGTACTAGGAAAGCCTCACAGGCCTCTTGTAGCGCTAGAACGGCATTCGACTGCCATCTGATACCGTAGTTCGAGCCGATGTAATGATCTGCAATTTCCTTCACCAATCTGGCAAATGGGAGTTTTCGTATAAGCAAATCTGTGTTTTTTTGGTATTGACGAATCTCCCTTAACGCTAGCGTTCCTGGTCTGTATCTCCTCCTCTTCGGGGCTGATCCCGCAACTGGATCACCGGGTAGATTTCCATATCGTTCCGTGCCCGAGATTATTGCAGCTCTGGACGTAGCTACCGTTTTCCGTGCCATGGGGGAATCTGTGGCTTCAAGATGTGGTTTTGGATTTTCCTGATTGAGGTTAAATTACTTGCATGTCTGCAGAACCAGCATTTTGTTTACGCGGTGTAGAGACCAGTACACTGACAAAGACTACGGTTTAAGAAGGTTCATAAAAAAAAATCTTGTTTAACTGTTTTTTTATTGAGTGGGATGTTGATTCCGTCTAGCTTCGCCGCATTTTTTTCTTTGGCAATTCGGTCTCGAGTGTTCAGATATTGAACTCTTTGTATTGAGACCATAAGAAACGCCAGAACTACAACCTGAACTTATCTTTCATTCTTCAGAATAAGATCTCACTTCGACATATAATATCAGATTATAAATTGGTTACTGTATCGGGTGCCATGAACATCGAATCTGAGGTGAAGATGTCCAATCCCATGGGCATTCGGTAGCTGCGAGCAACGGCTAGGTTGATTCGTAAATTGAGTCCCAGTAAATACAGATTTTGTATTAGGAGTCTGCCAAACATATTCGATACACTAAAGTTTATGTTACAATGATTCTGGACATTGTACTGGACTATTTACAACGTACTGTTGGGCGCTGCATCGTTCACACCTAACCAACGGCACAGCAATATGCGTATTGAGTGGGCCTTACCCACCTCTAATGCATCACTTCTGAACAACGTCGTTTTCGAATTCGGGCTCAAACTTACCTTCCAATATATCGTTCAATCCGTCTTGAATGGAAGTGGACTCCTCGTCCATGGGCATCTCAGCAAGCTTCAACTGTGACTTGACTCCTCCCATGGCCGATTTCATTCTCCACCCAAACTCTTGAAATGATGAGATGTCCAGTACCCAGCAGGTGCCGAAGATGAGCATCGATGAGACGGAGGCACAGAGCATCGTACCAGTTCCAACAGCAACAGCAGCATCCATGGTGAAATTGTAGCTTAGTGGTGGCAGATGGTTTCCTTGAAATAGAGAAGGAACATATTGCCTTGTAATTGTAGATTTGTAGGCGAACCTAGATGTGAAGATAGTGGCAGCTGCTGCGGTCATGAAGAGGACCATTTGTTTCTTTCTTCTTTGGACATATTCGGGCGATGCATCAGCAAGTTTAAAATTAAGGCTTCGGAGAGTCTCTTGTAGTTTAGTTGGAGGGGCGTCAGGACTAGTCATGATTGTAGTGGCTCTTCAATGAATAACGTTGAAGGTCGCACTATATATACAGTTTGAGAGTGTGGTGGGTGGATGCTTCGAGTGCACTAGTAATGATACAATGAATTTATAAAACAACATACTTTGTGGCCCTTGGTTTTACCAGCGGCTGCTTTGATGGTAAAAAAATTAGGAAAGTGGGTGAAGAATAGAATATTAGTTAGACGGGATCGTCTTCTTGCAACGTTAAATCAAATCTCCTCCTTGAAAACTCCGCCCTTTTTGTGACTGTCCTTGATGGAAAGGTCATCCTCGTAATTGCTCACGTCCGAGGATCTCTCGTGTTTCTCGGCAGCTGGCTTCGTTTCCTTCTTCGCTGATGTGGATTTCGTGGTTGGAACCTCCGGTCTGGAGTCACTTCTGAATGAGGATGCAAAGCTGGAGAATCTGGAACGAAGACCCTTACGTTTTGGAGCGCCCTTTGAATCGACGCTAGCGGTCTTCTTCAAGTCAGTTCCCTCCTTCTTGGTAGCCTTTGCTGGACCCTTGGCAGGAGTGGTGGTCTCCTTCTTGACAGCATCAGCGGCAGCCTGAGCATCTTCCTCAGCCTTGGTGGTCTTCTCAGAAGCCTTCTTCTTGGCGAGGTCTGCTGGGCTCTTCTTCTCAACTGGCTCATAGTCAAAGAGAGAACCAACGTCACGGAACTTGTCTTCCTTCACCTCCAGACGCAAATGCTCTGGCAACTCGTTGTTGATGTTGTGTTCATCCTTGACCTGCTCGTCAATGTGCTTCAAGATCTCTCTCTTGTGCTCATCTCTGCTGATGGTCTTCTGCTCCTTCTCCTTCTCCAAGTCACCGATACGCTTGTCCAAGTCGTCGTGAGCCTCCTTGTGGTGCTTCAAGTCAGACTCGTGAGTCTTCGTGAGGTCCTCGACCTCCTTGTCAGCAGTCTCACGCTTAGTAGTGGCGTCAGCCAACTCAGTAGTGTAGTGCTCGTGGTCTTTCTCGATTTCCTCCAACTTGGCCTCGATCTCAGCAATCTGGGTTTCGTATTCCTCCTTCTCCTTCTCAGCAGCCTCAATATCACTGGTCAACTGATCCTTCTCATCGGTCAATTCCTTCAACTTGGAGTTCTCTTCCTCCAACTCGTCGAGAAGTGGTTGAATTTCCTCGTCCCTCTCGGCTTGCATCAGCTCTAACTCTTCCTTGCGCTCGTTCTTGAGACCAGTCTCTTCCTCATCAATTTCGTCTTGGTTCTGCTGCTTCTCTTGCAATAATTCTTCCTTTTCAGAAGCGTACTTCTCCTCCAAGTCCTTCAATTCTTGGGTCTTGACCTCAACTTCTTCGTGTCTCTTCTTTTGGTGCTCGGTGTACAAGTCATCCTCCTCACGCTTTCTCTTCTCGTTAGAGGTGATTCTCTCTTGGTGCTCCTTCTGTTGCAACTCCTTCTCTCTCTGCTTTCTAGCAGCTTCTTCGAGCTTGAAGTTCTTGTGAGCAGCACGGGCCTCAGCACGCTTCTCGGCTGCAGAGGCATCGTGGTCTCTCTGAGCAGAAGCCTTCTTGTCAATGTCGGACAAAACAGGGCCCACAATCAAGGCAGCCATCTTGTCAATCTCACTGTATGGAAGCTGCAAGCCACCACCGAGGTCAATCAAGCCAGCCTTGTTGTTCTTGATTCTCTCTTCACTGTTCTTGTGGGCGGCGACCAAAGCCTTGGAGTAGAGCTGAGCCTGAGAGCGCAAGTCTGTTTGACCAATGGCCTGAAGGGAGTTCAATCTTTCAGAGGCCTTCTTGCTGGCAGCAGCCAACAAGGTGGCATCGACAACATCAACGGCTGCAAAGCCCTTGGTTCTCTTCTGGGAAGAAACAGAGTTGGTGTAGCCACCGCCGTGCTTCATGGTTAAGGCAGCGGCAGCAGAGTTGGCAGCCTCGGACTCCTCGGCCTCGTTCAAGTACTCAGTTGGTGGGGACTTGACGCCATGACGGTGGTCGACTTCAGGGTTGAATCTTGCGTTCAAAGTCTTGGACGAGTTCTTGTCAGCCAACTGGGAGATTTTACCAATGTTGAGCGAGCCGGAGGGGGTGCTTCTGGGCACGGAAGCCAAGCCGTGTCTGGAGGTCAACTTCTCGGGGGTGGTTCTGGACGTCATTGAGTAAGTGGAGTTGCTGGAAGCACGCTTGTAAACGTTGCCCTTGTTGTAAGCAGCAGGGAGACCCAAGTCAGGTCTGGCTTCGGAATTGGGAGAAGGCTCAGTGTATCTGGCGTTGGCAGCAGCAGCATCGGCGTCTGGGTCGGTCAGCTTTCTCTGCCACGAAGTAATGGAGTCGGTTCTGGCGGCCAAAGCAGCGGTCTGAGCATCAGGAGCAGCTCTCAAACGTTCGTAGGAAGGCTTGACAGTCAAGTCAGCGGAAGCAGCCAAAAGGGCAGCTGAGTCTGAAGCAGAAGAGCTGACACCGACAGAAGGGAGGCCAGGGGAGTTGTAGACACCCAGTCTCAATTTCTGCTGGTAGAGAGCCTGCTGAGACAAAGGCTTGCCATTGGCTTGGTAGGCGGACATGGTTAGGGAAAAAGAGTGGTGGGTTGGTGGTTTTTTCCTTGTGAGAGTGAGGAGCAATTGAGAAAAGAGCAAACAGGAGGACGGGCTGGGGCAGCATTGGCGGGCAGGGACGCAGAAACCCGTACCGCGCCTGTAATTTACTGCAACGACGGAATCGCAATTACCTGGCTACTGTTTTTTTCGCTGTGCAAAATATGCCGTTTTTGCTGTGTCCTCCCCTACCTTTCAGCACCAGCTGGGCCGTGGTGCGCACTAATTGGGAAGGTGCTGTTAGTGTGTTCCTGCAGACGGGCCGGGGCGGCTGCCTGAGGTGTTCCATGACGCACTTTTGCTTCCTTCCATGGTCCCAGCCAATTACGTCGCGCTGCATGACACTGTGAGTGAATCTTGCTGCGAGGTTGGCAATGGAGGGTTACATCATCGAAGGATGTGAAAATAGATTATTTTTTAAGAAATGAATAGAAGGGTTCAAAATTAGAGGGGCCCGAACGGCAGAATTTCTGGTTATACGGAGGGGCGGCTGATTGGACGCATGATACCTTAAAGCTGTCAGCCACAGATAACGGCTGCGGAAAACCACCCATTAAGATTGTAAACGCAGGCTCGAGTGGAGGGGCGATAGTTTTAGAGACTTTCTTTTCCCTCCTACCGAAGCAATTTGACAATGAGTCGGACTCATATTTACTTTTGCGAGAGGAGGCTTCAAGCAATTCCGTGTGGCTGACATGCCAAGGCACGAGGTCATGGAAGGTTGTCACCCCTAGAGATAAAAGAAAAAAAAGAAAAATGAGAAAACATCAGAAACTATATCCTGATTAAAAGCGCTTCGTTTGAAATGACGCCCTGGGGACCTCGGCTGCTGGCCTATCACATCGGCATGTCAGGTGTAGTTGTCCGTGGCTGCATTCCATGTGCTATGTGCCGAAAGTGAGCTCGCGATGGAATGTTGACATGGGCGGTGAATTTGACCGTTTTCGGAGTGGGCGAATTTGGGCTGCACAAATTTCGTTTCCTCTTTTTTCAATCCCCAGATTTCAGCAACGACACCACTCTGAAACCTTAATCAGAGTATCGGCTGGGGTCGAGAACCAGCACAATGTGTCCACCAGTAGACTATCGTCCAATTGAGCTGGCTACCGCCCATTGGGTCCTGAAAACTCAATTAACCATCTCTCTCATGACCACACCGCTCGTACGGGCCTCGTTTGGGCGGCTGATAGGCCACTTGTGTGGGACTTGTTATCTGACGTGAATGCACACTACCCTAGACGAAAAACAGCCACACGCCTCAATGGCCGATTGTCTTCCTTGACGACCTCAATCGGACCTCTCATCCGACAGTTACATTGTGGTTCTACCTCCGTCTCGGAATCCCCGTTACCTCTCCTTTATTGTGTAATTCTCGGCGCCATCAGACGTCTCTAGCTTTAGTCTTCCCCTGTGCTTTTGCCCCGATGAACCTTAAAACAGGCCTCGAGGAAATACAACATTCCGCTTGAAATTAACCAGATCACGAAGCCACCGTCTGGCGAATGCACGTGCTTGACTTGTCTCCATGGGCTAATTTGTTGGGGCTCAAGCATGGCCAAGCAGTTAGCACGGAGAAGAAAGGTTCAGGAACAGGATCTGCAGATCGGTCGACCTCAGATAGCTAGCTTTTACAATGATAAAGCTAGACAAAGAGTACCAAAGCGGTTCCCCTCGAAAGGGCTGAGGTCAATTAGACTAAGCCCTCCTCCATCACCGCCTCTTCACTGCGCAATGGCACAATACCCTACGAGAGGTCGTATGACCCCAGATACCGAAACAACAAATAGAGAAAAACGAACTTAACTACACTTCCAAACTTCTTTACTTTCTGAACAGCCAGGAGACTTGTCATGCTCGTCTGTCTGAAGTCTATCGTATGCTGCACCTCCAGACAATCCCCCAAGTCGCCATTATCGCTGGCTGCAAGCCGCATGCTGGCGCACCTCATAATCTCGATTTGGCAGTAGCACAAACATCACAAGGGCGCTTCACATGAGCCCTAGCCATTGATCGCTGGTTATCGCAGACATAACGGCGTGACCGTAAACTGGGATTGTCGGCTTCGATTGTTTTTTCTCTCGACAACTCGCCACAAATTACCACTCCATTCACCGCACCGGTGCCTTTTGCCAATTGTGCAGCATTTAGCGTCCTGCCAAAAGAGCCTAAGCCTAATCCCCATTCCCCAACTTTCGCCGAACCCTCATATAAACCCCCATTCTGCTCGCCACTTGCAATTCAAAAGCCAACCCCTTACCTACCCTTATGCGCCTATGACCACGACAGTGACCAAAAAGACTGTTTATGTCAGGGGCCCGAACAACATATACCGACGCAAGTCCTATGACACTCCTTCAATTGCATCTGTCGACTCTGTCGACTTGACTCGTAAGAAGGGTGAGGTCGATTCGACACTCAATGACTTGATGGTGTGTGGTTTTCAGGTCCCAGAGGACCCTTCTACGAAAAAGGCGAAGATGAAAACAAAGCGACCATCTGCATCAAGCGCTGAGTCTACAGCCTCAGCTCCTAATCAACCTCCTTCCCCCCGCATTTCCTTCAAGAGGTCGTTCTCTGACTTGCCAAAACAAACTTCTTGGATGGATAGTATCAAATCGCTACAGACCCGCTTCCTCCCCCAGTCGGCAACCGATTTCGTGGTTCCCTACGCCCTAGGTATCCTCACCGCAGTGGTGATCCAGCAAAAATGGGATCTTTTGACCCGCTACGCAAAGCTCTTGTCATATTTGTTATTCATGTGTATCCTTTGGGGTGCCCTAGCCACCGGTGCATTCTGGTATGCTGGTGTTCTCAGAATCTCCAACTTGGATGATATCAAAAACACATTCTCAAACTTGTTTGGCCTGGGAGAAGTTGCAAGATCTGATTCACCCATTAATTACCACTACGACCGGCGTGGAAGAAGATCAAGCAGCTTGGATGAAGTGGTGGACACAGAATCGGTCATTCTGTCCGAATACGAATCTGACTGTGACCCCAGACGAAAGATGAGGACAGAATCGGAACCTCACCTCGTAAGAGAACCATCTCCTCAAAAATTGACCAATGTCAGACCGTTTGTCCCACCTTCGAGAAGAGACAGTGCCGATTCAAAAATGTCTTCGCAAGTCCTGTTGAACCGTCTCCAGAACGAAGCAAGCACAAAAAAGAGCCGTTTCCGCTTGGGTCTGCCTGAACGCGAGAGACCCAAGGATCCTCGGAGACATTCATCGGCATCTCTAGAACTATCTTCAAAGGATAAACATAAACCTTTGCCATCTTTGCATAAAACCGCCCAAAGGAGTCTGGACTCCAGCGGCCTGGATTTACCCCTAGTCCATGAAATCAAGCTCAAAAGCAGGTTTGACCAGCAGCTTGAAGCTTTAGGAAATGACGCTCACTCCCTTAGCCGTCTGGACACGCTTCTCAGCAAACAGTCTATGTTAGGAACGAGAGCCAACAAAAGAACATTCTTGTCGAATGTTGACGAATTCTAAATAATTGCTTTACTTTTATATTTAATGGTACAGGTATGGAAATTTAAAGATCGTAAGACTTGACTAGCTGAGAACAACGTCCCAGATCGCTTGAGGACCCCTTTCCTCGTAGATATCCGTGTCGATAAAAGAATCACCTCCGTGATTAGAGTTGGTGCCAAAGACCTGCTTGGAATAGATCTCACCACCCAAGAAGTAAACATCTAGCCAAGAACCACCATGCTCCTTTGGCCTTTTCCACTCTGGAAAGTACTCTGGGTGTTTAGCCAATCTGACCAGCGATGGATTCTGGAGAGGACCAGCACTCTTCGTCTCTTCAGCAGCTTCGTCTGTCTGCTGGTAAGCAGCAATGGCGGAATTCACACCATTTTGACCACCCTTTGAGCCCTTCTTAGTTGATTGTGGTCTGACTAAGTGACGTTCACACAACTTGATGATCACGGCCTGCTTCAAGCCTTCAATGTGGAACGTGGAGCCTGTGAAAATGATGTTATCAAAACATTCCTGGCGCTTCTCCAAATCTGGGATACCCTTCAAGGAGTCGTAAATCGAGGTGGCAAGAACATCCACAAGCTTGTCTGTACCTTGGAAACGCTCCTTACCGACGTAGATCTTGTTACCAGAGATAGGATCTTTAAACCAGTTTTTGTCTAGCTGACTGTTTGGTTTCTTGTCCTCTTCATTCTCTTCCTCACCATCAGCCTTTTCATCAGAAACACCAATTCCATTCTGATTTTCTTCTGTGACTAACTTGGCCACATCAAAATCATCACCTTGGTTGCTCTTGTTTTCCTTGAGGTCATCAAGCGAATAGAAAGACTCGGTGTGGTCACTCAAGACTTCATATATCTTTGAGATCTTCAATGCTGTGATCTGTGCTTCAGAAAAATGAGGTAACAACTTCCTCAACTCATCAGTAATGGACTTGCCACCAATTTCCAATCTTTTACCAGCATGCTTGATGGATGTACCGCCGATGACAGGCATAATCTGAGAGCTTTCATGGCCAACATTGACCACAACCGCGGACGACATGGTAGCGAGGCCAAAAGTGGAGGCAATGGAAAGGTCCAAGACATTGAAAGCAGTGAATTCCAAAGTCTCGAAAACATATCTGGTGATCTGTTCGATGGCTGAACGGGAGTAGGACAAAGATGGAACAATCAACAACAAAGGCACTTGGTTAATTGTGAGGATAGGGTATTGTGAAATGATAGTCTGTAGTATGAATTTCAAAAGAGCTTGGTATGCTTTGACGTCAACAATACGGGAAGCACGAACAGGCCAGATTTCCTCAAGGTTGCCAGTGTTCGAGGCGTGGTAGACATTCGTAGACTTGTCTAGGTACACCACGGTGGGGAGCTTGTATTGTGGTGGGGATAAGGTGTCCTGCAAGCCAAACGAGAAGAGGGTATGTTTGGACCCAGTGTGAATTATGAGGAAATTCTCCTCACGAAAGAGTGGCATGGCTAAGGAGTACGTACTGGTGTGAAATATTGAGTATGTTATTTGATAGTGTGGGTAGCGCACGACTTCTGTGGTGAATAGACATCACAGTTAACGATCTTTTCATAGTCGATGAGCAGTTTAGACATTCGAGGCTGCCAATTTTTTTTCAAGTAGGATCTTGCTTGTTTGCGGTTGTCTTTCGAGAGTCCCGACTTTATATAGCCTCGCCGATGAAGAACAAGAGCTTCATAGAATGAGAGTCATGAGAACACTTTTTATAGACTATTTGTAGATTTTGATTTCCTATTATCTCCATTGACCCAAAACGATGACTGCCGCGTCTTACGGAAGTTGATCTTTTTTTTTCACTACATGTTTACTTTTTTTTATACATTTGTATATCTTCCGTCATTTGAGTAGTGGCTGCGAAAATATTCATGAATATCCCAATGTCAAGTATCATGTAGAGACATCACAAACATAAGGAAAGTATGTTGATTTTTTTTTCAAGATCAGAAAACTATATCACAATCTTCCCATTGATTGCAATTATTTCCGAGAATAATTGAGTCAGGCTTCAATTTCTTAGCTTTGGGGAGAGTTGCCATGAACTGCCTACTATGCGAGACGCGCTTGAGAAAATACGCCGTATGCTTACTCGCTTGACGTCTTCCTTGCATCGCAGCTCAACCATCAGACCCACCAGAAGCATCTTAAAAAGCCACATACTACCGAAATCCACCATGGGACAACAAAACATCATGAGCTTCTTCTCCCTGAAGAATGATGGGAAAGCAACTGAGAGCCTCAAAAGACGAAGGCAAGAAAGTGATGAGGAGCCAGTCAAGATCCAAAGAACTGGACAGAGTCTGCTAAAGGAAATTCCCCAAAAGGAGCCTGAAGCTTCTGCTTCTGAGGTGTCGAATGATGAGACTGCTAAGAAGGACGATGATGGAGCTTCGAAGGGTGCAATTGTTGAGGAAGCGTCCAAGCTTGTCAAATTGGCAGAGAAAGAGCATGTGCATAAGGACCTTGGAAAAGGTGACAAGTTCCCTTACTCAAAGATTACAAAAATGCTCGAGAAGATCGAGCACGAGTCTTCTAGGTTGCAAATGACCGCCCAAGTTTCTAACTTCTTCCTAGAAGCCTTGGAGAAGTATGGCCTGCCTGACAAACTTGTCACAATTGTTTACTTATTTATCAACCGATTAGGCCCTGACTACGAGCCAGATCTCGAATTGGGTTTAGGTGAATTCATATTGATCAAGGCGATCAGCTCATGTTATGGAAGGGCCCTGGCGCAAATCAAAAAAGATTATGATGCAACTGGTGATCTTGGCCTTGTTGCTCAGAAGTCACGTTCTGGTCAGCCTCCAATGTTCAAACCGCCTCCGCTTGATATTGACTCCGTCTTTGAAAACCTCACAAAGATCGCCAAAACGACAGGAAAGGATTCACAGGGCAAGAAAATCAACATTATCAACAAGATGTTAGCAGCTTGCGATTTGAACAGTTTCGAAGCCAAGTTTCTTATAAGATCGCTTGAAGGCAAATTGAGAATTGGTCTCGCAGAGAAGACTGTTATCGTGGCTTTAGCGCAAGCTTTTCTTAATTACGAGAGCAAGGGCAAACGTGTCTCCCCAAATACATTGGCTGATGCTGAGAATATAATGAAGGAGGCATTCTCTCGTATACCAAATTATGAGGTCATAATACGAAAGAGTTTTGAGCACGGTGTCATGAACTTACTCGACCATTGCAGTTTGACGCCCGGCATACCGTTAAAACCAATGTTGGCTAAACCAACGAAATCTGTCGGTGAGGTTTTGGATAGATTTCAAGGAGAAGATTTTACTTGTGAATACAAGTACGACGGTGAAAGAGCACAAGTTCATCTTTTGGAAGATGGTACCGTCAGGATTTACTCTCGTAATTCTGAGGACATGTCTCAAAGATACCCAGACTTAATTGCGATTACTAAAGACTTTATCAAAAAGACTGACGACAATCTGACGTCTGACACACCAAAATCACTCATTCTTGATTGTGAAGCGGTTGCATGGGATAGAGAAGCGAAAAAGATTCTTCTGTTCCAAACACTCTCAACCAGAAAGAGAAAAGATGTCAATGAGGCTGACATCAAGGTTCACATTTGTCTTTTTGCCTTTGATTTGTTGTACCACAACGGTGTGTCCCTCATCACAAAATCGTTGAGCGAAAGACGTCAAGTGTTATTCGACAACTTCCAGACAATCGAGGGAAAATTCCAGTTTGCAAATCATGTGAACTCTTCTAATACCGATGAGCTTCAGGCATATTTGGAGCAGTCTGTAAAAGACTCTTGTGAAGGTTTGATGGTGAAAATGCTTCATGGGCCCGAATCATATTACGAACCTTCTAAGCGTTCTAGAAATTGGCTCAAGCTTAAAAAAGATTATCTTGACGGTGTGGGAGATTCGTTGGACTTGGTTGTGGTGGGTGCCTACCGAGGCAGAGGAAAGAGGACCGGAGGTTACGGTGGATTCCTTTTAGCGTGCTACAATGACGACACAGGCGAGTATGAGACGGCTTGCAAGATTGGTACTGGCTTCTCAGAAGAGGTATTAGCATCTTTGAGTACTAAACTCAAGAGCACTGAGATTGAGAAGCCAAAGGCATATTATACCTATGACACAACCACATCGAGTGCTCTTCCTGATGTCTGGTTTGAACCTACCACAGTCTTTGAGGTTTTAGTTGCCGATTTACAATTGAGTCCCGTTTACAAGGCGGCTCATTCAGAATACGGCAAGGGTATAAGTATGAGATTTCCTCGTCTACTTCGTGTCAGGGATGACAAGGGAGTCGAAGATGCTACTACATCAACTCAAGTGGCTGAGTTTTACGAGAGTCAAGCTAATGTGAATTAAATACGAATTGAATGCTTCAAATGACTAATGAGAACCCTAGAGGCTAGGGCTCTTATCCCTTCCTTCTCTGATTCTATTTCTAATCTTCTCTCCCAACAAATGTCTTTTTTGCGGGGAGCTGATGGCGTATTGAGCAGAAAGTTTGGAGGCAGGGACTTTTGAGGATGCGAAATTTAGCTCCATGTGTGAATTGTCACGAGATAAACCTGTCTCGGAGTTGGGGGTCGAAGCTGGTTTATAGTTGAAGTCATCAGCCATCGACACTGTAGAATTGAGTGCCTTAATGTCCACGTCAGAGTTCTTGGCGTTGGCGTGCAAGGAATAATCAGAGAACATGGGAATGTTGGTGTATGACATATCAGAGTTCATCAACGAAACACCATCAGACATCGACAGCGAGTGATTGAGTGACAAGTCACTATCGCTAGGGGTCGTTGCCAATCCATTCTCTGCATCTTCTTTCTTCTTAGCTCTAAGCTTTCTCTTTTTAGCCTTTCTTTGAGCTATTCTCCTGTTCCGCAACTCTTGAGTCTTCAATTCTTCCTCTTCATCAGAATCGATGTACTGAATTTCATCAGTAACATTCAAGTGATCCTTCAACTCGAGCAAGTTGAAGTCATTGGGGAAAAGCTCTGGGCCAAA